TGAATGTTTTCTTTCTATTACTGCTGGCAATAAAAGCTACACTCCACAGACTGGTGCCAGTGTAATACAGATTGAGGGGCAGAGTCTGACAGTGATGAGGGGAGGCTGTGTGGTTTTGTGCCTGTGTATCAAAAGGCTGGAGAAGCTTCCTCCCATTTTGCTGGGGAGTAGTTTTTTTTTTGTTTTTTTTTTTGAAGGGACAGGAAGGTAGAACTGCACCAGACCTGGTTGGCCTCTATCTGGTTGATTGACTGACACCCCCCACACAGACAGTGCATTCAGATAAGTTGCACAAGACACACATACATTCCTTTAGAGTCCTTTATCATCTTCTTCAAACACATACGCTGCTCCAGAGTGGTAATTGCCCATTCCAAGCTAACAATAAAGCTATAAAAAGAGTAAGGAGTCGGTGCTATGGGGAGAACACCATCATACTGTGGAACAGCTCCTTCTAATTACTATAAGCAACAGAGGGGCCATGCAAACAGGAAGGAAGGTTATTTCTGTCACACTGGAATGCTGTGAAAATAATACTACAAAATAACTGAACAAACAACCAAAGCGTTTCCTTTCAATGTGATTTTTAACCTGATGCACAGCATGAAATTGATCTCTGCTTGAACATAAACTGACCCAATTGTAGCTTTGTGTGAAGTTTCCAAAAAAGTGGTGACCACAGAGTTGCAGCAATTTCGCAAACACATGAGGCTGGAACGTCTCTCTAATTGTAGTCAAAACATTTTCTCCTGTTGCATCCTGGTGGCTCAGACAGGGAGGGTTAATTGTTGGATGATACTACCCTGCATGCATCTTGCTTTCTCTGTGATCACCACTGATGGGATCTTAAAAAAATTAAGCAGTGTGAAGTCAATATCACTATTAACATTATTAACATAGAGTAGATAATTCATCCTTTCATGAATGAACAGTGACATTCTGCCATTACAATAACATAAAAAAAAATCTTAAACACAGGACGTTGCTGTCTCAGTTGTTTTTTTTCCTCCTCTGTGGCCTCATTCTTAATAAGTCCTCTGATTAGATTCCTCTGTCGATATCAGTAGGCAGCCATACTCACACCATGGCGCTCAAAACAAACAGTTATGAAGCTCTGCATTTGTTCTAAAGGTGTGGGGCTGGGAGTGCAGAGGAGCGGGAGGGTGGGAAACTTCAGCTGGGCTACTGTACATATCTGGGCCTTGATGTGGCAACAATGTGTTCAGTGGAGGACGGGTGCCCGAGTTTTGGGTCACTTCCTTCCTACTGAGGCTGAGAAAGAAGTGGGAGACCAGACGGACTGAGAGGCTGAAGCCAAGATACTGATTTCAGATCAGTGCACAGCCCTGTCTCTTAGTGGGAGAGACCGAGGTGAAGCTTGTCCTCGACGTGTTGTTGAGGAAAGGCAACGCCGTCGAGCGTGGGAGAGTGTGTGTGGGGAGAGGTGTGAGACACCTCAGGCCCCGTGTGAGCGCTGCACAGTTCCCTGAATGGATTCGATGGCGCACACACACACACACACACACACACACACACACACACACACACACACACACACACACACACACACACACACACCATTTATTAGTGTTACCTAAGCACTTGAACAATGACCAGTAGCTAAACTTCCTCGCTTTGTCTGCCTCCGTATAACTTCACAAGAGCTTTCAGGCCGTTCTCACACAGACACACAAATACTTGTTTTGTTTCTCACTTTTACACACAAACACTCTCACAAGCACATGTATATGCAGATGCGTAGAAGAAGAAACAAAATCAAGCATTACAATACTGCAAATGGTGAGAGAACGTCTACAGGACTTTATATTATGTTTAGGCATATTAGTGTTTTAGTAAATGAGGGAGTGGTAAATGCATAAAACTGCAAGTAAGAGGTATTCATAAAAGTGTACAAGTGCAGCCACATCCATTTTTGGTGCTGGGAACCTGTTACCAAAAAGAGAGCAGTCATCATAATCCATGACAGAGAGCATTTATCAGCGGTAGAAGGGCTGAGCGGGTCAGTGAGAAGGGAAGTGTTGTCTGTCAAACTGTAATGGCCTCTCTCACCCTGGACATCCATCAGTCATCTGACTCCTGGCTGCGATTCAGCTCCCACTCTGCTCCAGCTGACCCTTAACTCAACAAGCCAAGTCCTTCTGATAAAGTGCTTGTAAGCACACACGTACACATAAAGCCGTGTATTCACACCTCAGTGGAAATCGCTAGTATGTGTTTATGTGAGTGAATATCTGCAGAAGCCCTTTATCTCAGACCATAAAGGGTTTGGCTGCCTGGCAGACAGAGACAGACAAGGGTGATGTACCCAGCTTCGATCCGCTGACCCTGGGTGAGCCTCTGGAAATTCTCCCACAGGCCCTTATCTCCATTATCACCATTTAATAAAACTCATAAAATGAGACAATACAGCAAACTTGACAGCATCATCTGTATTTTCAAAATGTGTTGCAGTGACCTTTAGTGAGTTTCCTTACCAGGTATCCGAATGAAAGACCATCCATGGCGAGGATAGACGGCCATCATACCCCCAGGGCATTGTGGGTGGAAGGCAATGGCCCTCGCACGCCAGTCTGAGGCAAGTTCAGGGGAACCGTAGAGGAAACATTGTTTGAAGATTGTGCCACCTCCACTGCGCGTCACCCACCATTCATACTCAGCACTGCGGTCGTCACAATAACGCTCCATGGGAACTGCCGTCACCTAGGAAACCAAAAAAGAAAGATAGGGTTTTTGAAGTAAAAGATATTATTGTGTAGAGAAGCCAGAGAGAAGATTTTAGGGAGGTTTTCATGTGAGAGTTTCTTAAATAATAAAATTCTGATGCACTGCTTATCATTCCAAATATTTCTTCATATGCTGCTTTTAACTATTAATAAAACAAACACGAAACTCTAGCAACTTTTCCACCTAGAGATCTCTACTGGAAACCAAGGATACCACCTCCACGAAGGCTAGTTTCACTGAATCTATCACTGAATTTGTTTTAAATGCAGCTGGAAGCTAGTCACATCACCCCAACACCCCGAACACACACACTTCACGAATAAGAACTTCTCATTGTTGAAAGCCTACAAATGCGTTTCCCTCTTCCCTTTCCACGACCACCCAAATGCTTGCCTTTGCTGGGCCAACAGACACACAGGCTGTCTACACAGACACACACAGGCCTTTACAAGTGTGCCCTTCTCGGGCGATTTGCTGATCACCACGCACATACACACACATACCCTGGGCATAGCAGCTTGCAGGAATTTGGGTGGCAGAGTGGGCTGGCAGGGCCGCAGCGTGGAGGTGGGAGAATTTCTGCTGTGGATCTTCACATCTGTGTGTCCCACCATGCCGGGTCTGAAGGCTGTAAACACCAGGCTCTGAATCAAATTGATAAGCAATGACAAGAAGATATTACAATCCTGTTGCACAGATGCCAAAACTGCATAATTATAGTGATCATATCTGAGTGGTGAAATGTTTTA